AGAGAACTGAAATTTACACATTTACCAGGCTATATATATTCAGTCAGTCATACCAGGCTATATGCAGTCATGCAGTCATACTTGTGTGTTCAGTTCTCTTAAATGGCCAAAACTTTTTCCTTTTTCACTGAAATTTGGTAAGTATAGTTTTATATTTCTTAAAATGGCTTAAACTTTATAAATCTTACATGATATATTGTAAGAGAACTGAAATTTACAAAGGGAGAATCCATCACCAGGCTAAATTCAGTCAGTCGTACCAGGGTGTGTTCTCTTAAATGGTAATAACTTTTTCATTTTTCAATGAAATTTGGCAAGTATGGTTTTATTTATCTTAAAATGGCATAAACTTTATAAATCTTACATGATATATTGTAAGAGAACTGAAATTTACAAAGGGAGAATCCATCACCAGGTTATATTCAATCAGTCGTACCGGGGTGTGTTCTCTTAAATGGTGATAACTTTTTCATTTTTCAATGAAATTTGGCAAGTTTGGTTTTATTTTTCTTGCAATGGCATCAATTTTGCAAATCTTGCGTGATAAGCGGTAAGAGAACTGAAATTTACATAGGGAGAATCAATCACCAGGCTATATGCAGTCATGCAGTCATACCGGTGTGTTCAGTTCCCTTAAATGGCCAAAACTTTTTCCTTTTTCACTGAAATTTGGTAAGTATAGTTTTATATTTCTTAAAATGGCTTAAACTTTATAAATCTTACATGATATATTGTAAGAGATCTGAAATTTACAAAGGGAGAATCCATCACCAGGCTAAATTCAGTCAGTCGTACCAGGGTGTGTTCTCTTAAACGGAAATAACTTGTTCATTTTTCACTGAAATTTGGCAAGTTTGGCTTTATTTTTCTTGCAATGGCATCAATTTTGCAAATCTTGCAAGATCAGCGGTAAGAGAACTGAAACTTATATAGGGAGAATCAATCACCAGGCTATATGCAGTCATGCAGTCATACCGGTGTGTTCAGTTCCCTTAAATGGCCAAAACTTTTTCCTTTTTCACTTAAATTTGGTAAGTATAGTTTTATATTTCTTAAAATGGCTTAAACTTTATAAATCTTACATGATAAATTGTAAGAGAACTGAAATTTACAAAGGGAGAATCCATCACCAGGCTAAATTCAGTCAGTCGTACCAGGGTGTGTTCCCTTAAATGGTAATAACTTTTTCATTTTTCAATGAAATTTGGCAAGTATGGTTTTATTAATCTTAGAATGGCATAAACTTTATAAATCTTACATGATAAATTGTAAGAGAACTGAAATTTACAAAGGGAGAATCCATCACCAGGCTAAATTCAGTCAGTCGTACCAGGGTGTGTTCTCTTAAATGGTAATAACTTTTTCATTTTTCAATGAAATTTGGCAAGTATGGTTTTATTAATCTTAGAATGGCATAAACTTTATAAATCTTACATGATAAATTGTTAGCGAACTGAAATTTACAAAGGGAGAATCCATCACCAGGCTAAATTCAGTCAGTCGTACCAGGGTGTGTTCTCTTAAATGGTAATAACTTTTTCATTTTTCAATGAAATTTGGCAAGTATGGTTTTATTTATCTAAGAATGGCATAAACTTTATAAATCTTACATGATAAATTGTAAGAGAACTGAAATTTACAAAGGGAGAATCCATCACCAGGCTAAATTCAGTCAGTCGTACCAGGGTGTGTTCTCTTAAATGGTAATAACTTTTTCATTTTTCAATGAAATTTGGCAAGTATGGTTTTATTAATCTTAGAATGGCATAAACTTTATAAATCTTACATGATAAATTGTAAGAGAACTGAAATTTACAAAGGGAGAATCCATCACCAGGCTAAATTCAGTCAGTCGTACCAGGGTGTGTTCTCTTAAATGGTATTAATTTTTACATTTTTCAATGAAATTTGGCGAGTATGGTTTTATTTTTCTTACAATGGCATGAACTTTGTAAATCTTACATGATTAATTGTAAGAGATCTGAAATTTACATAGGGAGAATCCATCACCAGGCTATATGCAGTCATGCAGTCATATCGGTGTGTTCAGTTCTCTTAAATGGTCAACACTTTTTCCTTTTTTTACTGAAATTTTGCAGGTATGGTTTTATTTTTCTTACAATGGCATGAACTTTGTAAATCTTACATGATGAATTGTAAGAGAACTGAAATTTACATAGGGAGAATCCATAACAAAGCTATATGCAGTCAGTCAGGTGTACTCTGGTGTGTTCTAGCTCTTAAATGGTCATAACTTTATCATTTTTCAATGAAATTTGGCAAGTTTGGTTTTATTTTTTTTTTGCAATGGCATAAATTTTGTAAATCTTGCATGATAAGCGGTAAGAGAACTGAAATTTACATAGGGAGAATCCATCACCAAGCTATAATAATGGAGTCAGTCGTACCGGTGTGTTCATGCAGTTTTCTTAAATGGTCAAAACTTTTTCCTTTTTCACTGAAATTTGGCAAGTCTATAATTGGTTTTATATTTCTTGCAATGGCATAAACTATGTAAATCTTACATGATAAATTGTAAAAGATCTGAAATTTACATAGGGAGAATCCATAACAAAGCTATATGCAGTCAGTCGTACCGGTGTGTTCAGTTCTCTTAAATGGTCATAACTTTTTCATTTTTTGAATGAAATTTGGCAAGTATGGGATTTTTTTTTTTCTTATAAAAGCATGAACTTTCGAAATCTGAAATCATAATTTTTAAATATTAAAGGACTGAAATTTTCATGGGGAGAATCCATAATTAAGAGTCATAATGGTGTCAGTTCTCATAAAGGCAGTTTATAGTATATGATATAATAATTTTTTTTAAAGGATAGGGGTGATAAATTAAAATTAAAAAATATATAATTCAATACTTTAGTACTTGAGAAGCCTTTCTACTACTTATTCAAAGTTGTTTTAAAATCCCTATCACAGGTATAATTAGTTAATGACACCTTAGGGTATTTCACTGTGTATATCCATTCATGCAGGTAGACTAGCTGCTAGCTCCAAGGCAATCACACCTGTACAAAATTAGCCCCTTCCTCACCTGGAATAAAAATACCACCCGGTAAAAATTCTCTGCTTTTAAATGACCATTTCTTTATTTCTTTTTTTTTTTTTTCTCAATCATATTAAGCCAATTTGGAATATTATTTTTGTTGTTGTTGTTGAAATATTTAAGATAACTTTCTTATCTGCATTATATCAAGTTACATTTATATCCACATATATTACTTGCACTTACAAAAAGAAGACTACTGTTAAAATGTAAAATTTTACATACATGTATATCTTGTTGCAGTGATGTTTATCATGTTTATTAGTCAAATTTAGTTGTCTAAAATATATAATATATTACCTTTACAATATTAAAATATGTAGGAGTTGATGCCTCAGATTTAATTACACCGGGAAAACAAAGACAATCTGCGCATAATGGTATAGGAAAAATCAGAGGCATAAAGAAAAACCTTTGTAGAGGAGTTGACTCCTCAATTTTTTAAAACCTTAAGTACGACTTGGTTTGTGTACGAGTTGACTGTAAATCATCTGAGATCTCAACTGCACTTGGCAATCGTAGTAAAATAATACATCATTTGATGAATTGTCGCAACAGAGATGCAAGAACTCGGAAAGAAAAATTTGGTGATTTGATCAGATTTTAGTCAATAATTGATTTAAAGACTAAATTTTAAGGATTAATTCACGTACATTTAAATCAATTTAGTCTCATTCATATTCATTTCTTTGAGATATTGGTTTAACATGCTTGAATTAGTCCATTATCATCTCAACACAAAGTGAAGCAACTAACAAGTGAGTATATAAATCAGTAAATGGTCAAAATTATATCAACAGGTACAGATAGTATAGCTGTATATGAGTCTTGGGTAAATTCACCTTTCAACAGACACCAACCAGGCGTAAATAAAAAGAAACACATTTTATTATCAGAAAGAAGTGTTAGGAAGGAGCATGTTACATGTGAACAAATAATGAAATATGACTGTATCAAACACAATAACAGAAGTACAAATCTGTGACTTTGACACATTTTTAATTGAAAGACATGTAAAAAGTACTGTCAGAATTATGAAGTTCATATCTTGGATTCATTAATCATGTTAATTAATTATGTTAGCAGCTGTCATTATAATCATAATCATTCAGAGAAGTTAAAGAAATATATTGTAACATAGATAACCTGCGTAGACCTAGATATTCATATAATAGATATAACAAATATCATTTCAATGTGTACAAACACTGCAAAGAAAATGAATGGCAACTGATGGTGGACAGACAAATCATCAGTAGCAAGACAATATGCCTTATTGGGGGGTAAATAACAAAAAATGATAATGAAAAAAAATATATTTTGAGAATACTACATGTATACTGCATGTTACATTCTTCGGCGCTAGAAATAAAACACCACTCTTAACGGTGCTTAAGTTTACTTATTGTGGTTAATTTCAGATTTGTTATATATTTAATAGGTTGGTGGGATAATTTCTCCCATCACATACCAAAAATATGGGATAAATCCTATATTGACATCAATTAGTGGGATATTTTGTCCTGTGGGAGAAATAATCCCATTTTTGCAACAACCGTGGGATTTTTTTCCCATGTGGGAGAAATTATCCCACAGTACTTTTTCTCCCATGGGATTTTGGTGGGATTTTTGGTGGGATGAAAAATCCCGCCATTCTCCCATGGGATTTTAGGTTTTGACAGAGGTTTATGAGAAAACTACTACAATGTGGAAGTTGAGATTGACATGATGAGGTCAGAATAAAAAATCCCACCAAAATATAGAAAAAAATCTAATGTAGGTCTTTTCGAAAGGGTACCTAAAAGTCCAGACTTTGTCGTGTCCGGACTTAAATGTCGCAGTGTTTATAGTTTTTTAAGGTAAAAATACAACATCAAAAGTTAGGACATTATTATTGAATCACCCTGTAGATAAAGTGGGTGGTTTGTGTCCCAAGCAACGTGGAAAATGGTCTCTTAATAATATGTGATGATTCATGCATAATCATAGTATTGTTGCACACATGAACAATTAAAACTTAAAGGACCTAATATATAAAACTGACAACGACGATTCAGGTAAAAGGAAGTTTGTTTGATTTTTAACGTAATGTTTTATGAAATATTATTTTTGAAAAATTTAGATATGATTAAACTAAATAAATTCCCAGATATAAAATGAAGTGAAAGTACATTGTGTTCTTAAGGGATATAATGCATGTATTTATTTATACGTTATTGTTTAAACGTTACTGGATATTCGATATATTTATTTGAAAATGATAAAAGTAGCTAATAGAGTAAACGATCTTTTATTGAGTATAAAAAATCCAGAAGAGGAAAATTTGATGACTAGGTTCTATTTTAAGATTGTGCTTGTGTGGAATACCTTGCATGCTGATAATTTTATACATCTGCTATGCAAAAACAAATAAAGTTTTCCTCTCTATGTTTAGCTTTTGATTTTGTTTTGTTTTGGTTTTTTTAGTTATTAACCATGTTCTACATCAAATGGTGTCTAGGTATGGTTCTTTTAATTATGCATCCTTATCTTTCAAAGGTTAGACTCATTGAAAAAAAAAAAACAAAACCAAAATGAAATAAATATGTTTTAACTTGTTTAAAATATACAAGAGAGAAAAATAACAAATGTTAACCATGTTTGTGTCTGACAAGATTTTTTTTTTTATCTGTTTAGTATAAACTAACCTCAGTCAATAAAACGTGTAAATGGGTAAAAAAACTGCTGCATTAAAAACCAATGACTTCGTGCATGTGCAGCTTTTATCGCTTTATTGGAAGAAAGATAACTCGAATTGTATCATAGTCAAAAATGGCAATCCCTAGTTAATCAATTAACTTTTTACGTTTAACATAAGGGGTTTTTTTTATGATGATAAATACAGATCAACATGGGAAAATAGAGCATCTACACATTTTAATAAATAATACCAAAAGCATACTTTTTCCATTCTTTCCTTTTTTTCACTTCTGAATTGAATTTAAATGTCAATGCATGGCAGAGGTATCGAATCAATCATCTTTTAAGACCATTTAGTGACAATTCAGAAGACTAAATGGTGTTATTTTATCTTATTGTTCTCATTTGAAAAATACATATACATAGTTTCAATATAAAACTGATTTAGTTGGATATTTTTACATTTTCAAACAACTATTCACATTAAGCTATTGCAGCCCAGGGGACCGGGCTGCTCTATACATATTCAATCCGACTACAAGTTTTCAAAATATTCGCAAATATCGTCTCATCAATAAGACGCATGCCTTTTCACACATATCAAAGCGTTTTGATGATCAAAACTCAGTTTCACTGTTTACTTTATATATATCCCGGGCGACAATTGATGGTTATATCAATGTTTTCTTGTTATTTACTGTGAAAAGCGTTTTTTCTACTATCTTAAGACGGTCGATCTCATATTCACTTATTCTTTTTTTATAATCTAGGGTAATGCAAGTCACAGCCTTTCATCTTGTAATGCGACTCATATACAAGTCGTCGAGAGTTGTCCAGAATCCCAAAGAGCATGGGAAGAACAAGCCAAGCTGAAGAATTGTAGCTCGCTAACCCAACCATGTAGAACACCAGACAAGCTCCAGTACCACTGTTTGGTTAACACGTTTTTGAATGCAACCATTTCGATTTGCGCGACTCCGACTTTCATAAACGGTAGATCATTTTTTTAAGATGATACCTAATAAAACTAAAAAAATAAGCATGTACGTGGGCTGTTCAATAAATAATGTCCTCGGTGCTCAGAAAGAAGCAAAAGACGCTTTTCAATGATTTATTCCTCATGATTTTACTAATTATTCTCTTTTAAATAAAGTGCATGTCCGTAACATTTTTTATCCAATTTCTGATTGTTTGTAGAACTAATTTTTTGGTATGACCCTTAGTGTACTGGAAAATGGCAGATCCAATGATTTCCCGAACTTGTTTCTTCCTTCTGAAAGGTGTTTTTTCCAAGTTGGAAATAGAAACAAGTCAAAAGGTCAAAGATCTGCCGAATGTTGTTAATGTGAAAAAATATCAACTTTCTGTTTATCCCGAAAACCCCATAACTCTTCAGGGCATGCGGGTTTGGACGCTGTCTTGAAGAAATTCAATTTTATGGATTCCTGATTCTGGGTCCATCCTCTAATAAACCTTCTGATTTTTTGGCCAAAAAAGTGCTTTCTAGACTCCTCCAGAAATTAAACTGTCTCTCCGAATACGATTTTGAACAACAATACCACTAATTTTTAAGAAAATTACATATAAATCTGTCTTTGTGCTCTTGCATACATGTGCACTTGTCAGACATTCGCGTTTTTATCAAGTACATCTTATGGTAAATTTTATTTTTAGGGTTTTAAACAATAGATTCATGTTTTAATATCTGTTTGAATATAAAACAAACGTGGATAACTACAATTACTGATATTTTAAAATAATTTTTAGGACTTTCGTAAACACTGTTATTTTCACTCATTTTTCAAAATGTAGGGTGACCTCTGAGTACTAAGCTTTTTTACCGTCAAACGTTTCTTAAATACAGTGTAAACTACCCCCGATGTGATGTCTATCAAATTTGCTATGTGTCTTAATGTCAATCATACATCATCAAATATTATTTGTTGAAATTTGACGAACAGTACATAAGTTGTTATAATTTTTTTTGGCAAGGAGGGTACCAATTTTTTATGCCCATTCTATAATTTTTTATCATTGAAATTCACCTGCTCTTTTGTCTATAAAACAGGCATTGGTTGCTGTAAATGTCACATATTTCAGTAAATATTTCTTTGGGATTTTTAACAAGTTTTACGGCAGCTATAAGAAAGCTTTTATTTTCACTCTAGTTTACTGATTCTTTACTATTCATTTATAATGCAGTGTCTCGAAAAGTCCTTGTTTCCCAGCTTCTCATGATGAAACTATTTTATGAAAAGTGGTCACATAAACTGTTATAAATTTATGAAAGATTCAATAATGAGAGAAAGTCAATTTTAGTGTCATCTGATATCTGTAATGTATGTCATATATTTCAGGACATTATTTATTGAACAGCCCTCGTACTAGGTTTGAATTTGCCTTAAACCTTTGATTGATTTTTAAACTTTGCATACACTTCTTTAGACTTTAATTAATTTAATTTATTTTTTAATTGACAAACTGTTTCTATTTAGATTTTCAAATAATTTATCCTATGCATATGATTCATATCTCTTTATATCAAACAATATTTATTGTTAATGAAAATTCAGAACTATAGAAATGATATTATGGAACAGGTCAAAATAAGGTATTTTTCAAATTATATACATTATGATATATAAAGTGATATATTTTTGTAAAATATAAAAATATTTTATCATTCGTGTGAAATGTAAAAAAAAAGATATATTAAATGAGAAGCGCGTCACATTATTCCTTCGACATTACAAAGTTGTCAGTGACCCTTGTTATTTAGCATGTTAATTCTATAATTAAGTGACACGAGTTCTATTTTTTTATCCGCATATAAACAAAAAATATTTTATATAGTAATATGCTGATCTGATATTCCTTAACTTTAAAATGAAGTGTAAAAGATATAACATTGTTAGCAAGTTATGTAAGAGCTCTCGTAGATTGTTTCAATTAATGGGATAAAAAACATGACATATTTACACTGCATATATGTAGACTTTTAAGCAATATTTACAATTCAAATACGGTTGAAAATTTCATTTAAAGTAGATAGCATGTTAATATTGAGCATACAAATAAATAATTTATATGGATGAAAAAATAATAACCTTTTCAGGATATCGGTGTGCAGAATACAATTTAAGAGGAGAAAGCATTCAGCCCAACTATGACACAAATTGTAGTTTGTACAACCCACCATGTCCATTCCGTTACGATTCAAGGGATGCATTTCTTTGTACGTATATTCCATGTTTCTAATTTTTTTGACACTCTTTGAAATTAAGATTTACCTCAAAAACTTTCACAATATGATGGGTTTTGTGAAATATTCTAAAGATTCATTTACATTTTGTTCCTAAGATCAGGGATGTTACAAACTGATTCAAAGGGACAATAGCACGTTGAGTGAAATATTGTCTTTTGTATCGACAACTGAGTCAAACAAAGAAATGACCAGGTTAGAATTTGCATTTACTATTACTGTCACTGCTTCCGCTTCATCGACCAGTCTCAAAAGCCTGTAGATATTATATGTTATTTAATTATTATTATTATTATTTTTTTTTTTTTTGAAATTTAAATTTTTAAATTTCAGATACATCTGAAAACAGGATGATTTTATAATATTACTTAATGCAATTATAACATAGTTGCTACAATTTTTATTATTATATATATTTCAGAACGTTTGCTGAAACATTCTGGCCAATATTATCATTTGTGCTTGCCTTGACTGTTTTGACAGTTGTTTGTTTTGTTTTCCAAAAATTCCGGAGAATTGACTATAACGGCAAGTATTTGATTAATTTATAAAATATTTTTCTATGCCATCTCGATTTTTTTATCCAGAAAATCAAACTGAAGAGTTTTAAAAAAGTATAATTATCTGTGTATTACTACTTTTCTTCGATTCAAGCTGTCCAACCTCCGCCATTTGAAGAAGTTCATATAGCCCATTGAATCACATCAAGGTACATTTTAGATAGACATTTACAGGCTATTGACCTGTACTTATATATTATATTCCTTTCAATACAAATATAACTACTGACATGAATGTCTATGCACAATACTTTCAATATTTTTTTAAAAGTCAGATAACCAACACAATAAATAATTTTGTCCCTGATAAATTTACTTTAATTGTCAATGCATTGTATTTATTTTCACATATTTTAGGTTGAAGATAGCAAACAATCGAAAATACAGGTACTAATCGATTAAATTGTGGTAAAAACTCTAAATAAATATTTTTCTTCACATTTGATACATGAAGGTGAACATGTATAAACTTTATTTTTTTTTTAGAATACATTTGATCAAATCTTTAATCACGTACTGTACTATTGTAAAATTATAACAAATAAATATTTAATACATGTCAGTGTGGCCTTATGTTTGTAAACCCTTGCTATACTATAACCCTTCGGTAATAATTAAAATAATAAAAATTCAAACTTTACTTTTAATATCCTTTAGAAAAACCGCATAAAAATTAAGAAGAATTATTTCACAATGACTTTATTTCATTCTGAGCTACATGCTGTATTAGCTGTCATATTAAAAAGTTTATCTTGATCTGAATATTCTATATTTTTTTTATACAAATGAATTCTTTATTTTTAGATGTGTTCACTTTTTCATTGAGAGTCTAAAATCAGGGAGAATAAAAGGGTAGTTAATGACAAACCATCGTGTGAATTTTGAAAGATGCGTCCCTATGCATAACTGTTCTTAATTGTTTTACATATCTAATCGCTATACTATTTTTTACATTTGTTTTGTCATATTTTCAGTGCTCACTTTGTTGTTTTTGAATTAATGTACTTTTTCAAATTGCACTGTTAATTGTTAGAATATATTGTGCTTGTATTGTAGATATTGTCATTTTTTAATCGGATCATTTGTATGGCAAATTGCAGATAAAAGAACTATATTGAATGTTGGGATTGATGTTAGACGTTTCATATTTTTAATATGATTTTTTTGCATTATGTTACTAAATGGCATGTCAATACTTCCATTTGCTCAATTGAACAAAACAAGATCTTTGAAAACCATTCTTATTCGTTGATCTCAGATTCAGCATATCTTTTCCTCAAAGAAGGTTTTCATCAATTTACTTCTTATTGTGTCATTTACATGTCAAAATTTATGACTTTGTAACAAACTGAATCTTATGAATATTGAGAATTCCATGAAATAATGTTAATCCACTTTTCTTATTTCACATGAAAATATTTTTATCTATCTTAGACACTAGTTTATGAAAAAAGATATTAATATTGTATGAAAAAAGACGATATTAAATTGAATGTTTATATCAATGTGTATATCAATTTTTATTTTCAATAGTTTACATTAGTTGTGTTAGCATGTGGCGATATCGAGGTCAATCCGGGGCCTACCATTGAAAATGTCCTTGACATTTTATACCTCAATATACGAAGTATTAGACATAAAATCGATCATTAAAACTCTTTTGTTCATGATTTTGACATTTTATGTTTTACAGAAACCCATCTGGACCATACTATACACAATAGTACTTACACTTAGATGGGTTTTGTAATATTTTGAGAAAAGATAGAACTGTTTTCGGGGTGTGTCATGATTTATTTATCTGAAAAAAAACACGTGCTACATGTATTAGGCGACATGAATTCGAACCAGCTGACGTTGAATGCATATGGATTGAAATTGATAATCATACCTTTAACTATTTCTTATGCTGTGTATATCGTCCCCCAAACTCTGATGGCGGTTTTTGGACCAAACTTTTATGGAGTATTGATTAAGTTGGTGAAAAATCCAGTAAGATAGTATTAGTTGGTGACATTAATGTTGACCTCTTTACAGTTTCACAAACACATATCATCCGTGAAATAATCGCAACACACAGTTTAGTTAACAATATCCATGAACCTACAAGAACTACAAACACGTTGAGCACGCTGCTTGACCCAATTTTTTCTTCTGTTGATATTCAAGTATGCGAATCGGGCACATTAGTAATGGAACCATCAATTAGTTATCATAGAGCTACTTTTATCTCACTTTTCTCTAATATATTCTACAATCGCTCTTTCAAAAGAAAAGTGTGGGCCTATAAAAATGCGGACATTGGTAAATTAAATACTTTGATAGAAAACTGTAATTGGGATAAAATCATCAATGAAGCTGATACCGTAGACTTGGCCACTGAAAATTTCACATCTGAATTTCTCACTTGTGTTCGCGAATGCGTATCGGAACAAACAATAACAATCCGTCCTCGTGACAAACCATGGTTCGATTATTATTACGGAAAACTATTAGAACTAGAGACCGTCTTCATAAAAAAAAGCAAATAAAACTAAAAGAGAATCTGATCGGTCTGAATATAGAAAGGTACGGAATGCAGTTAACAATATGAAGAAACATGCTATGGCTAATTATTATGACAATATTGAAACATATTAAGAGGACTAAAGTAAAAATAATAATAAACTTTATTGGAAATTGATGAAGGGTTCTTTCAACATTAAACTCTCTAACGAGATACCACCTATTGAAATATATAATAATAAAGGTAGTAAAAAGTTGGCTTACTCTAACATAGACAAAATTGAAGCCTTAAATTCTTATTTTTTATCTATTTCTACTATTGATGATTCAAACGAAACACAACCAAACATGTACAGTCTATGTAGTAGCACATTTTGTAAAATATCAATTGAAGAGCACTCGATAGTTTCACAAGCAATCGTACGCTTCTTTCAATGCAGGATAGTACAGATGCTAAAAAAACAGACCAGTCTATACAGGTGACAAATGTTTACACTAATTAGTAAAACGGGTATATTTAGGAGCAAGGGATTAAAAAAAAATATGGCGATGATATAGCTATTACATTCCTGTTTACCTTTACATAAATTTCACTATTTACATCTAAAATTACCTCAATAAACATTTCAGTCAAATAGCATATTTTTTTTTATATTTTAAACATTTAAATTTTTATCCGATGTTTTATTTATCTGTTTTTAAATTTTGATTTTATTACATTTGACGACATTACTGGACATGGATATACAAAAAATACTTTGGTAATGTATACTTAACTTTCGAAAAAAAATCATAATGGATTATATTTTAATGATAGAATGGTCCAAACAATTTCATATAAATGAGTTTGACTTTTTATTGCTGAATTATTTATGTTCATAACAAATAAGTGTGATTAATAAGCAACCAAATGCATTGGCATCGTAAGTCTTGTTCTTCTGAGTAAGAAAGATGAATGGACTATCACTTAATAAACCGTTAGATACTCGTCTTGCTGTCGATCATTCTGTAAAATGTTTTCAGTGGAGTCTAGATCTTGAATTGATATTTGTTTCAAATTTGTATCAAATTCATCTTTATAATCTGATGAAGTGTCAGCAGTATTGATTATGCTTTCGTCAACACGATGACTCGTTGTAGAAAGCATGAATGGCACCCCTTCATTTATAGACTCGTATTCCCTTAACTCTTCAGACAGATGTCGTGTTTCTTCTGAAATCAGATATTGGTTGTCCGTTCGATTTGTTTGTTTGCTTTTATTTTGAATTTCAAGAGAATACGTGGTCTTTTTTTGTCATAGATCATTGAAATATTTGCAGTTCCTTCTATTATTTTTTGAATATTTTGCTCGTTCTTCAAACTTCCAAAACAACGTTTCATCATGGTTGATCCGTAATGATTTTTCAAAATGTTTAGTGTACGTATGTATAAAATAAAATTAGTAATTAGAAAAATTAAAAGTAGAACTATTCCAACACAGACAATTGAAAGTATAACTTTGAATGTATCATGGGAAAACATATGTCCAATTGTACCAGCCGACTCGTCGTAAGCATTTCTTTTATGTGTCTCAATTTCAAGGGTTATTCCCTGCGACAGCTGTCGGTCAGTTTCAGTTGTACTTTGATTATCTTGCAAACAAAAGCAAAATACATTTATTAATATAATTCCAGAATGAAAAAGAAGCAATTTTTAACCAAATGGTGAACAAGCTGTAACATGCAAAGCAATTCAGTAAGGTTTTATTGAGGATATACAGTCCGATCTTGAAATAAAATGGAATATATTTTTCTCTGTTTTATCATTGATTTTTTTTAAGAAAATATAAAAGGGGGTATTCGTGTTTTTTTTAGATTTTCAAAAAAAAAAAAAAAAAAAAAAAAACATTTCATGAATAAACGGGAATGAACTCACCAAAGCAACCAAATGTGTTGTTACAGAATTGTACTGCACACTGGCATTTTGCGCTGCAGTTTTCTCCGTAATAGGGATACAGGCATGGTTGACTACAGTTGAGACCGAAATAACCATCCGTGCATTCTATTATTGATTAAACACAATTATTGTTATTTAATGTCGATTTAATTAATAAATTACATTCACTTAAAAGAGTTCCTTAAAAGAATGACTAACTTTATAAAAATACATTGTTTTCTTAATATAATTATCGTTGATCTCATTTCTGGTTATGTGTTCATTAGAATATTTTTTTAAACGATCGTATGAACATTCTTTCCAGATATACAACGTTGTTCAAAAAACATCCACGTGCATGCAGGTACACATGGAATTCTCAGTTGAAAAAGTATATACTTCTGCAAGCTCTAAGTGATGCATCCCATGTAAATCCAGCACAGCATCCGTTCTTACTAGATAAAAAATGAAATAGAATACATAAATTGCACTATGAAAAATAAGAATTCTAATGCAAAGGAAAAGACTTCACGGTATTTATAGGAGGGGTTTAATTGGCGGATCATTACAATTTCCGATATACGCGTACTTCCTCCAAATATTGATATATGCTGGCACAATCAATCGGGCATGTCTCATAATGTATAAATTCATTTACAATACTATATGCGTTGAAAGCCACTGTTCATGACATTGTAAAGTTAAAATCAAAACGAGTTTAAGTTCTTACTCATCTCTAGGAAATCGCATCATATTTTAGTATATGATGTACAAAAGTCATTCATTGAAAAACAATATTATTACGTTGTCGGATGTCAACTAAATCCCGATGGCGCCAGGTGATCTTATAATGTCGTTTTTACTCCATAATATTTGACAAATAATGAACGCATCAAGCTAAAATTTTCAAAAATTCTTTAAGGTCAGACGACACGTTCCCCCAAAATATATAATTTATCATTGAAGTCTAGGTACTTAAACAAGTTTCCTCACAAAAAATTAGGGTACCTTACCAGGCATTTGGACAAGATACCACGGGGTCATATTTCTTATAAAACCCTTGTCGGTAATCTTCTGAATGGCCTATATCACAATTTTTAGTTTAATTATATTTAAAAACATTTTGAAAACGATATAGAAATCAGGAGATAATGACATTTTGAATGTTTTTTGATATAATATCCAGAGATACAAAACATAAATTTGAGGAACGTGTCGTCTGAGCTTAATATCTTTTTGGTTTTACGTTCCTAAATAAAAATGATGGGACAGACTACATAGTACTGAAATTTGAACCTCAGTTCACATTTTGAAAACCATTCATATGTGTAAAATCACAGATAGGCAATCTTCTTCTCATTATTTCCCGAAGAAAAAATTCTACAAGGATTGAAAAAATTCGGGAAAATAAACATGTCCAACTGCTGACCCTCTATATCTAGTGACTTCCATTGTAAGCTTTGGATTGAAATTAGTGCTGTTTTCAAATCAGTCATCATTTTAAGTTCTATACCAAAACTACAATTTTACATGCGCTCGCATCAAATCGTGGGTCGGATTTGGACATTACCCTATCTTGTCCTTTAAAAATATATTATTATTGCCGTATTTATCTAGATAATCAACATTTGATAAATCAGATAAAATCAGTTAATTTTCTATTATACAACAGGGAAATGGCATTGCCTGTTATTTATAAATAAAATGTTATTTATAGATTTTCAAAATCTATTTGAAACTTCCCTGCTGTGAAATTGAACACTTAGGTTTCATTTTCTGTTTTAACATGTAGGCATTTTTTTTATCGTAAGGATACACATAAAAATGGAATAAAACAGGAAATATGTCTCTCGTCAATTGATTCGTTACTTGACAACAGTTGTTAGGAATTAATTATGAGAAATAAAATGAAAACAATTTGTATAAATATTTTTTCTTTATAATATCAGACATATCAATTAAATCCCTTATAAACTAGTGAAAAGAAAATAAAGACTTTATCATTACCACAAAAAATTCATTTTCCATAAGAAAATAAAACAAGTAAAAATACACTTTGTAGAATATGCATAATTTGTGTAAATTTATTATTTATTAACAATTAGCTGTTCTTCAATTGTGCATTAAAATGTAAATTTAAAAAAGTGTATCTTATACATTAAAAAAGTCGCCCTTCAAGTCAATTCAATGAAAAATCAGCATCATTATTCTAGACAAGAAAAAAATGATTACATGTATACATGAAATCTTCTAGATTGACTTTGATTATTTATATATATATATATATATATATATATATATATATATATATATATATATATATATATATATATATATATATATATATATATATATATATATATATATATATATATATATATATATATATATATTTACCCATCACATGACTGTGCCGACACTTTCTGCGGAGATTGTGATATATCAATGAATCCAGGATTAGACATGATGAGGAATAAAATTCTAACATTCGCCATTTTTTGTATATGATGTTGTCATTTCCGGCGTGATTATACCAGATTTGCTTGTTTAAAAGTATTTCCATATTTGATAATCAAAATATAAGAATCCTTATTGAATAGAGCAACATTGAATATATAATTAAAAGAAATCGTGAAATGTTGATTAAAAATATAATATAGATAACTTTTTATTTTAATTTGTCAACTAAATGTAGTTTATAAATAACCCAGACTTATTGCAGCCCGGAGGAAGGTGCTGCTCTATACATATAAATTTAACTGTTGGTGTATGGATAAAGGGCTGGGAGTAGTTATTCAGAATTCAGGTTTTCTAAACATTAAAAAGTTTGTTTATCAGAATGTTCTTTCCTTAATAAATTACGACATATATATATACATAATTTGTTTTCTTCCTTGAAGTGAATCTTTAAAAATATATTATGGTTTTTTTTTTCATCTCTAATATATAAAGTTACTCATCGTTTACTATCGAAAAAACGACAGGTCTCTACTTAGAACATCGAATTTTACTTCTCGCATAAAAAGAACGTACTCTGCACAGTTCGTGTTTCATATTTTAAATTGAAAATTAAATACATATTTGAATATTGGGGATGGATGTTTCTTACTTCAATTTATATTTAATTCAGTCAACATTTACTCGAGGAATTGAATATTATAATGGTATCGTTTTTGCTTGATATTTATCCGATTATAATTTTTTCAAAATATTAGCGACAATCGTCTCCATCAATTAGACGCATACCTTTTCACAAATTTCGAAGCAGTTTGATCATCGAGATTCATTTCTATTGTTTACTTTATTTCTTCCCCAGGCGATAATTGATGGTTACTTCAATATTTTTTTTTGTTTATTTACATGTACCAGTAATTTGAAAGGGAATTACATGCATACTCTATACAAAAATAGAATGCAATGTAAATTTTCTAGGAAATATTTTTTTTCTCAATTTCTCAATTTCTAAAAATATAATTATGTTAACAAACAAATGAATCTATGAAGTAGTTACTGTAACAAATTACCAAAGAATCAATAAATCAATTTCTGAATTCATAAATAAAAATAGCTATTATATTGTGAAATAAACCAATAGTTTTATTTTTGTTTATATACATTTTACGTTCAGTAAGCCAAATCACCTTTTTTGGAGGTTTAAAATGGCACATTGAATTATAACATTGACAATAGCCGCGTTAACGACATGAATATCTATGAATTTTACGTAATGTTTGTAATAGTAAGACACATTTTATCTAAAAGAAAAAATAATTAAAGCAGGGTTGACTATAAAAATTAAATATCAACATCAAAATATTTGTGTTTTTTAATCAATATAGTTTTATTCATTTTAGGGATGATTTGAAATTCTTTGATAGCATGCATAAAAAACGGCCAAAAAACTTAAAGAGCAAATCACCATGATTAACAAATTAGCAATCACTGGTAATTGAGAAACATTGTAGATAGGCTGTCATGCAAAGTTCATTCTTTAAAAGAAATAAAATACTACATGTATGACATAAAGAACCGATATAGCAACCACACTCTGAATGAGTCAAACCTATATGAGAGTTATCATTCTTTACATTAAAAATACTAGGACGGAAACCCTAAAAGTTTCGTAAACGCTTGAGACAGTTCAAGCTGAGTCATGAAAACTATTCATTTGATACATGTAATTATACATGTTATACGAGGGTTGTCCCAAAAAGTTGTAGACAGGGAAAACAGTTTTGTTTCTCTTTGCTTTATTAAATTTCTTTCCTTGTCATAGCAAAGAGTAACATTTTATGATCATGTACTTCAAGTTTCGTGATGATATCACAACTTTTAAGAAAATTATGAAAAAATAAAGAAAGAATATAAGTGTACACCGGCGCACGAAAGCTAGCGTAAATTACGTCTCTTATAACGTCATGATCTATTTGACTGCTTCAATCGCGGGTAATAACATTTAATAATTTTTTTAAGTTATAGACCACTCTTGATTAAGGGACATATTTAAATTCACTACTGTCCGTTTGTTTTTTATTCTTGTTTTTTTTAAGCAGATTTCAATTTCAGTCGAAATTAGGTCGAAAGATGCTCTTACATTGTAGGCAGCAGAGAATACAAATTGTTTGACGTTCGCGGTCCAGATTGTCCCCAATTGTTTGTGTTTATCAAACAGTACTCTACTTCTTACATGCCGTAATTAACTATTTTCGGTACAAAAGAAAAACTCATTTAATATCGTGCAATTTAATTTTTTTTTTATCAAAATCTCGTGTGTAATGTCACTTTTTTACTCTTTTTCCCGTCTCTGATGTATATTAACCATATCCAATATAATTTATCACATCTCCGTGCGCCGACAACGCGTTTGATGACGTCATTTTCATCATACTCAATTTCAACGATACTATGAAAATCATGACACCAAGCGTCTGTTTCTAAAGATATTTATATGAAATTTTGACATAATATTAAGATTTTTATTCTGGTTTCAGTGATTAAAAATTTGAGTTCAATGTATTACAAAGTACTAAAGAAATTAAAGCAAATGTAGAAGTTATATGCGTAAATTATTCCGAATTTTGTCCGTGCGCCGACAGGCCTTATCGGCCTTCATATAAATCGTCCTAATATTATTAATATGAAGGATATGCATTTCAAAATTCACAATTTTAAAGAACATTGACTGTATTGTGTCTATGCAAAATTTGGTAAGTATTGGTTGCATGTTTAAACAGTTATACACATTGTCTACGACTTTTTGGGACAACCCTCGTATATAGGAGTTCTGTACAAATTCGGTGCATCTTTTCATTTTGTGTTCACATTGTGAAAATGGTGTATAGACCAATGTAGCACTATAAGTTTAATACAGGTAAGTCTAAAAATATCTCATTGTAAATGTCAATCAAAATATATATCATTAAAACATTTGACGAACAATGGTTTTAAAGTAACGCTCTTAAATATTTTATCATATTTCTAATTTTTTTTTATAATACCATTATAAAGTCGTGAAAAAATGGGGGTGTTAAATATGTACCATTATTAAGTTAACTACAGTGAGTAAATGGTTGTGTCGTCTCAAATAGCTGGCCAGTTAACGCAAAGATATATACATGTAGTTATATCTATACATAATTTCTACGTTTCATAGGCGTCGAAACCGAGGGTGCTTGGGGGGGGGGGGTTAGCCCTTAAATTATACAAGACATAGACATTGAAAATTAGGGTTTTCCTTTCTTTGTTGGAATAACCCCTCCCCCTCCACACACACACTTTCAATTAGCCCCCCTTTTAATTTGCTTCAGACGCCTATGCATTTGATATATTTGTGATACTTAAAGGGGTATAAAGCAGATTCCATTCTGCAATATTCCGTGCAATATAGTAAATTGAAGAGTATTAAATGTTTTTTTTCTTTTTTTTTTCACTCAGTTAAATAAATATACAAAAAGCCCAAAATATGACTTTTTCTTGATTTTTTTTTTCTTTTGGGAAACATAAAGCGCACATGGTTAATTTTTTAATCACTAATTAGTATTGGATAGATACATCTTTGGTAAAAATATAGAGTTTGTTCTAGGCTGCGCTCTACATTTTCTGAAAGAGAAACTGCTTGAAACTAAGCAGTTTTATACAAAATATGCTAAAATGGCAAAACGTGAACTTTATGAAGCCATATTTCTAAATTAACCTCATTTTGATCAAATTGAAAATGACAAATAAAGGCCGCAAGTATTGTTGTAAAAATTAAAGATATATATAAAGTTTTAAGATATTTATTTTAATGGACTATTTGAGTCACATCACTTATGAAAAACTGAATTCGAAATTTAAGTGACTAATTATAAAGGAGCGTTTTTTTTTCAACTACTACATGTAGGTAAATAAATGTGCTTTTGACGTTATGACGTGAAGTTCTTAAAGAAGGGGTAATACAGATGTCATAAATGAAAGAGTAATAAAATTTGCTCTTGAAATTTAAAACATAGAAATATGTCCTTCCCACTCTGTAAATAACAACGAATATAACTTAAAAAGTATCGCAAGGCAATAGCGATTACATAAACTTCCGTGATTTAGGATTTCTATTTACCACACTGCAGTTACATTACATTTGTAATTTTTATTAGCTATAATTTGCATTGCATTGGAGAAAAAGGAGGAAGATCAACTTATTCAAACAAAAGAAAAATAACAAAAGGAGGAAATATTTAAAAGTCAATAGAATTTGTTCACACAGGTCGATTACAAGAACGTAAGATTTAATGAACTCGTGATGTGTTTATCAATTTTCATATCATTCAGTATATGATATAGCCTTTTCAAAATAGGCATTTATTACATTTGACAGATGTGTTTTTCCTTGTATTGTTCATACATTGAGTATCGATATTCTAGATATATCGATATCTTCTAATTAATTTCAGATCAATGGCAGACCTCTGATGACGGCGCGCCCGGGAAACCAGAGACGCCAGAAACATCTCAGGATGTCAGGTTTCTCACGACTTTCAGTTTCATTCTATCTCCTCCAGTTCTTTCTGGAAACACCAGCTTTTGTTGATGGTAGGCGAATTAACATACAGAAGAGATATACAAAGGTAATAATACCTCGTTGTTGATTTAGAGTCAAACATTAAATTAGGACAATAAATTAATATTATACATAGAATGTAGATTCTTGCTATTAATGAAAGTAATATTTTTTTTCTCTCCAAAATACAGAACCAAGTCTGCAAGGAAACAACACATACCGTAACAAATGTACAGAATTGTCCATTGGATGACAATTCATTTCAGGAAAGGGTGCAAGCTAAACAATGTGAAAAAGTCAACCATTCTTCTTGCTCAGATGAAATATTTGTGTACCACTGTGTACGTTTTCGAGAAAACCTAGTCGAGCTGTGTGCACCAAGAGGATTAATTACAGGTAAAGTAAGTAAGTAAGTAAGTAAATTATTTATTATAGTGACATGTGTATTGTTACAGTATTACAATATATTTTACAACAATGATAGTTTCTTACACCCGGCCCAAAGGACCTATATGTCACTCTTAATATTTTAACAATTTATATATACAAAGGCACATAGTGAAAATAAATGATATTAGAATGTTCTTTTTGTGAAGTACAGGTATTTTTCATCTTTTTTATCATGGAGGGAGGAGGTAGTTTCTGTGTTTAGAGCATATTCTTACAGCTTTGGCAAATTATTAATGCGAAAAAAAAATGTGAATGAGATTAAAACAGTTTCTTTCTAAAGCTGTTCAAAACAGTACGTTCAAAAATATAAATATCCCATTTAAACTGCTAAATGATTAATTTAAAGCATAAAATCTCCTGAGGAATATTTGATATAAGTTCAAAAAAAGAATTATGTAAGGGTTAATATTCGAGCAGTGTTCATTCCTCAATGGTAATGGAGCTGGGACCCCAAAGGTGCTGCGAATCCATTGCTTTCAAGGAATAAAACACTACGAGTGTATTAATCCGCGTAAAATTCACCTTTTAAACGCTTGTTATTATTGTTTGTTAATATATGATAAGGAATAAAATTAATGCCTTCCACGTTTAGATAATTTAATTACTAATTTGTTCCTCTGTTCAGGTGGATGCTGTGCGCAATTCAATGAAGGAGTAGGAAGAGTGATAGAAGACTACAACGTGCTATGTTCGGAATGCCCCCTAAACTACTATACAAACGAGACATGCAAATGTAAGCATTTTATTTGTTTTTATTCGATCGTAATATCAACATATCCAAGAACTGAAATCAAAGAAAATAATAACGAACGAAAATCAGCGTTTTTATTATTGTTGCCCTTTGAATTCCGAGGTAGAAAAGAATATTTGTGAAAATAAAAACAATATTTCGAGACCGATGAGGATATCCTGCAATATTTACGACAACAAGGATTTTATTTTTATTTTACCAACAGTTCAAAAATGCATCTGTTTGTTTCCTCTTTAAAGAAATGAATCAAGTCACCACTTGCGAAGAATCAAACAGACTAACGAATTATATTTTTTTATAACAGTTACACATGGTATTTTTGATTTACCAAAAAAAAATGTTTAATTGCTTTATTAGTAATCTTACCGAGCTTAAGTGATTTTTTTATTGGGACAACTTCGCTAAGATATAAAACCCGACATTCATTTATTTAGCTACTTAATGCAAAATACAGTGTCCAGACTGTGAAAGACAACACGTAGATATTGTCAAAATGAGGGTTTTTTTTTTATTTTGAAGTTAAGTTATCATTTCAACTGTAATTTGAGAAGATCCGAGAAGTATTTCTGAGCTGAATTTTTAATGAAGTTCGTATATTATTGGAGTATAATGTCCGCTGTATTTCTGTTTGAACATGTCAATAATCCTTGTTCAATTGTCGATAATCTAAATCGGATTTCATGTTTTGATCATTTTAACGTTAAATTCCGTTTGTGGAAGTAAAAATATGACATTTTCCTTTTAATATGATTTCCTTATCTTTAAAATTGATTTATTTTGTTTTCTTTTTAGATCCATCCTGTGTTAAGCCTAGAACAATTGCAACTGAAACAAGTATATCACAATTGCCAAATGAAACTTCAATTCCCAAAGTTTCCACAGCCAAAATCTCAACAACAAACAAAATAGATTGCAGTACATCAGAACGCTCCAAACGACATGCTAGGTGCATCTTAAATCGGAAAAATTCAGTCCAAAGCATAGAGGCAACAAGTATTTCGACTTCTTCAGCAAGCAATGGAAACACTGGAACTAGGTGCATATTCCGGAATAATATTAAATAAAAATCAATTTTATTAATATCAACTAAATCAAAATATTAAGAATGGATTTTGTTTAAAAGAATGAGGCTTTATGTCTTAAGCATGTATCACTGCAATACTTTTTTTTAGAACTTTGTTTTAAAAAGATTACTTAGGATTCATTTCAAAAAGAATTGTCTTCTTTTGTAGACCTATTAGAGTGACAACGTCATTTTTATACATCATTATTGCAGTTACTGTAGTTATAGTCATCATAATTTCGTCTTTGATGTTATACTACAGTCGAAAACGTAAGTTTGGTAGATTCTTGAAATTTTGACATGATAATATATTATTTTTTGTAACAATATTTATATTCATGTACATTTGTATCTTAATGAATAGTTTAATCTTAAATGAATAATAATTTTTACTTTTAGGTTCATTCAAATTTTGTATTTGCATTGCATCAAAGGAAAACACTAAAAATGTTGAATGGATGGATCCAGAACGTGAAAAACTCGAGGGTAAGGTAAAAAAAGTAGTTTCTTTGGCAAAAAAATTCAAAATTCAATGCAGCAGGCAGGTTTTTTAAAGTAGGCTTTACACCTTTTTTAAGCCATTTGTTCAATAAAATGATATCTACTCATCCTTAATTTTTGATCCCTGAAATTAGTTATTATATATAGTCAACTTTAAATAATTTTATTCCTAACATTTTTTTTAAAGCCAATTCATAAAGTACTCTTTATTTAGAAAAAAAAAATATATTATTTTCTAATATAAACGTATATTGTATAGCATTGATGAATAGGGAATGAAATCGATTGTCTTTTTCAACTTGAAAAAATAAAATTGAGTTATTTCCCTTCTCAACATGTCAATACAAGGGATCAATGAGATCGGTTTTGAACCGATGCGGCGGTGTCTGAGAAACTATCGATTATTTTGTTTGCCTAAATAAGTTAGTAATATTTTCTATCGAACTTGACCATTATTTACATGTAATAGTGTTAGAGTACATTTTGTATTTCATTTTTTTTTCAGTATCCAATAAAGTATATGCAGTCAAAGAAATCGCAGACTTGAAAAATTGAAAATCAGGAGCCTCTTTTACTGAATGGATCTTCCAGCTGCGATAAACCCTGAAAAGAGCGATAACCGATGTTTAAATCTCAGGAATCAAAAAACTGAATGGACATCTTCTCCTAATTCTATTGCACAATCTCAACAACAAGCAGGTGATAAGGAATTGTCGATAGCCTAGTCAATTTACATGCCATTGGATATATTATCATTAGTATTAATATTTTATTAAGGCAATTTTGCATTTGAGGTCTTCTTCAAGATCATGTAACTTCGAATTCATTTGATTTTAATTAGATAAATCTATCTCAAAAATGAGTTCTTATCCAAACAATTAATCTAGATCATGTCTGTTTAAATAAATCAAAAGTTAATTTTAGATCAGGAAAATTCCTCACTAAAACATTAATTTTTCATTTTGTTAGCTTTTCAGTGTCCATGATTCAGTAACAGTTTATTTCTAAAAATGCTTTCCATTTATTTAATATATTTAGAAACAAATTAGCAACATAACTGAGTAAAATGAATATTTACATATACATGTAAAATCAGACATAAAAACAATGACAGCTTAGCCAAAAAACCCTAAAAAGTAGCGTGTTATGTATAAGCTTCATACATTTGTACATGTGTATATATATCAAATTTAAATCAATTATATATAATATCACAGAAACTAGAACTTCACATATACGATCAAGGCTAAAGACTATAAATAAGATTATAGGAACATTGAATAAAGTTTATCATGTGTGAATGCACTATTTTTTTTTTATCTGGCTTTTGATTGAGGTTGACTGGAATGGCAATAATTTGATTTTATATTTTTCCTTAAAAAGTTCGGATTTCATACAAGTCAAAATACCGGTAAATGATAGCAATTGACAATTCTACCAAAAAAACCCATAAAAGTACTATCTGAAAAAAAAGTTTTAAAAAATTTCCTCTTTCGTTTTTAAATATTTTGCTAATTATATGAAAATTAATGTACAAGGAAGAAATAAAGTCACGTTTATTCATTATAATTTAAGCTTATATCATACAAAATAGCTCTATTATATTTACTAATTATCATATGTTTTTTTCACAAGTTGATCACAAGGACATAATAATGTTACTAGAGAATGTTATAACCCCATATGACAAATTTCATTGAAAAATTACGCAAAGATTTAATCACATCCTTGTTTCATTCATTCTTGATCTGCGTAAAATCAGATACACATAACAAACTAAAAATCGTAAACAGAGTTAGATTAAACTGCAAATAAATCATGAGTATTGTTAAGACTTCCAGCAGTTATAAAACAGGTTTAAATATATATATTTACTTTTCACTTCTCCATTTCTAGTAATGAAAAAAATCAAATTGTGTGCAAAAAGTTTTTGTAACGAAAATAACTCAGGAAATATGTTATTAATTATGATAAAAGACAAGTAAAATATAGTAGACCTTTTACATGTATTTCAACCCTGGTATACATGATAACAAGAAAAGATGTCGTATATCAGACCTTATTTCACTATGCAATAAACAAGATTTTTTGATAAGAAAAGAAACATCAATTCTAAAATTCAGTATGTATGCATGTTTCCAAAATTAAAAAAGAAAGGAAACGTTTTGTAAAATTTGTCTCTTTGCATATTTCCATTAATATTTTTCACATTAGTTTCAGTTAAAAGCAAATATTTGTATAACATGTTAGGTTAATGTACAATATAAATATTATAGGTCAGTAATTACAGGGGTAGCAAACATAGTCATGCACTGTTTCGACTCTGTCAAAGTCATATGCATAAAATGTTTAGGTATCAATTACATAGACTTCAGTAGGTCTGTTTGATGATGTTGTACGTTGTTCAGTATTCACTAGAATAAGGTAGGCTACCAAAACAATGAATAAGGCAATTGAAGCAACAATTACCAAGGTCTGAAGCAATGAATTTGTGAAGCGAATGACCACTCCTCTGCTATGTTGTGACCAGTTGTCGTTTTGTTTTTCTAAAACAAAAGATTATGGTGAAAACAAAAAAAAAAAAGCCATAATTTATCTACAAACTGTAAAAAAATGTTTAAAATTAACAAAATTCGAGATTGGCATGAGAAATATAAATTTCAGATAAGATACATGCCTCGTTTTTATTTTGTGTCAAATAGTGCAACATTTGTTATTCTACAGTTTCATTGTATAATTTACATGTTTATACATTATATAATTGCAATTTTGTTTCTATAATTTTCTTATTGGGATATCGTTGCCCTGACTCAAATATATGTAACCCCCCCTGTTAAAAATAAATATATTTAATATATTCATTTTCTTTTTTATAGTGTATAATTTTAATTCGTGTTCTATATTTCAAATTTAACGTTAAAATTTATATGATTGTCTTTTTATTTATATTTAAATGTTCAATTTGAATTGTAAAATATTTTGAATGCCTTGTGATTTCATTTAATATCAATCAACAAATGATCACTTGCGTCGTACATGTATCTGAGGATTTTTTTTTTCTACTATAGGTAGTGAATTAATTCATTGCTAAATCTTAAACCTGTATCGTGTTTAAAATGAATCTCAAGATAATCAGGATGCTAAAATATAGTGGACTCCTACTTGTAGTTTTATACATGTCTGGAGGTGGTTATTTTATGCTGAAAAACGCACAGCTTTGTTAAGGCCTGAAAAGGGGTTGCGGCCTAATTTATTCGGGAAAAGTTTACTGTGACGTCAGACAAAAATATGTACATTTTATATTCCTCATAATTTAGGAAAATAAAAAAAAACATTGCAATTTTAAACTGTATAAACATAAAAAACAACATCAAAACTTATCAATGCAATAAAAAATAGCTGCTAATCAAATCTCAAACAATAGTTGATTAACAATTCACTGATCGCTTGGCGACATGACGTCATTTTCGAAAAAAATACGTAATTTGTTGACTGTGAAAGGCAAATCAAGTACATTTTTTTTACAATGTTCAGTGCATTTTATTATTAAACAGAATATTATTTACAGAATTTAGATATACTATTAAGGGGGGACCTATGTCGTTCGACGTCAAACCAGCATTATGTGACGTCACAATAGCGACGTTTGTTTTTTCCTGTTAACTTTTGCAACTGTGATTTTAGGCATAACATTGTTATTAATCAAAAACGTACACAATTTACAAAAAGGATTTTTTTCATAATTTAAAACAGTTTTATTTGATTTATGGAGTTTGTTAATATCAGAATTCCCTTCCTTTGGTTGATAATTCATAGCAATTTCAGTTGTGAAGAAATACCTCTATGATATGCTGATATAAAAATGCAAAAAATATAAAAATAAAATTCAGCAAAGACAGCGGCTTAAATTAAGGAATTTGTTTAATTTTATGATTACCATTAAGTGTATTTTCTGGATAAAACTAAGAAAAATAAAGAAATGTACTTGTACCTATATTAACTTATTGATTTATAGTGTATGTAGATTTTATTGTATAAAGTCATACCTATTAGGTGTTGGTTGTTGCTGGGGAGGGGGGGCAGAATGATTAGAATGAAGAAAGAAAGAGTATATCTGTTTAAATTATTTCTTATCAAAACAGAATACTAGTTTTTTGCAAAATAGTTTTATATCCAGATGTTTGTCAGTGCTAACTAACCTTTATTAGTGCAGATAGGTCAATATTTATGAAAAAGAGTACGAAAAAAAAAAGAAAGGAAACGTTATATTTCTCGTTTATTTTATCATAAAGGTATACTTTTTTCCTTGTTAAACTAAAGAGAGGGGTCATTTCTCTCAAAAAATATGAATTACCACATTTTCATACAAATACTTTTTAAAATATTACCTGTTATGCATGTCGGAATTGTAAAAAATACGGCAAGAAAAACGGGGTGATACTTACATTGTGCTCCTGTATAATTTTTCATGCGAGATGAATTACAATGAATTTGCCTCCATTTTAAAGATACAAGTCATATAAATTAAATACATGTTGATTTCGAATGTGATTTGACATTTTTGGTTCTTTTTAGCGCATATTGGGAGTAGAACAATAACGTCTAAAAATAATCTTTTTTTTAGCATTTCACACTGTTCTTGCAAGTGCTCCTGTGTAAAAATAAGCACATAAAGGTATTGTTTTTAATACCTAAAAATTAAGATCAAGTGATCAGGGAAGAAATGTCAAAGTTTTGAAAATTTCACACAAAAACTTCTTGGACATAGGTCCCCCGTTAATATCAATGTAAAGCCTTTGTTTTAAATTAGCTCGATTATTCAATGATTAGCGAAAGAATGTGTGTAATTTATTTTACAGTGTTAATGTTTACAGATTTGGTATTGTAACATCGAGGTTGCTTTTTAAATCTCCTTTTCGCAAGGGTATACACTTTTTTAGATGTTAGCCATTTCTTGAATACAAATAAATGATAGTTTTCTTAACTTGAAAAGTTCTGCTGCTTTCTTTAAATCGAGGGTGTGACTTGATAAGGACATGAAATACTTGGTAAAGGTCATACATATTTCGACATGAGCATATTTACTTGAAAGTTTAACTAATTAAATGCAAATTCTATTGAAAGTAGCAGCACTTTCCAGAAAGTATAAAGTATGTAGAAACAGCCACAAAGTAAAACTTAACCAAAGAGAACTTTACAAACAAGATAAATAAACAGTCATTAGACACAGTATAATACAGTATAATACAAATAGAAAATTATTGCATATATTTAAAAAAAATTGTCTTATATTAATAATATTAACAATATTAAGTTAATGTTATATTGGTGAAGATTTACATTTCCAATAAATTTCCCAAAAATAGTTCTTTACAAAACAAAAATGCCGTTCATTTTCTAATAACCTACACAATGTATGTAGCACGAAGAAGAATTAATATCTTCATTGTTATGTCATATGCCGCTAGTCAGAAAATACAGTGTACACTGTTTTGCTTTAAAAACGACTGTTCAATAGCGTAAATTTACGGCAAGTCATCAGAAAAATAATGTAAACATAAATTATGAATTTAATTCTTGAGGATTCATGATGTATATGAACTACACTTCAAACCAGCATATTTATCATAAAGCGCTTACACCTTCATGATATATTCCAGCGTGAAGTGTCGTAGTTCACAACCTCATGAATCTTCAAAAATTAAACTCATATCATAAATAAACAGAATTTTTTTTTTTCAGAAATCTATTCAAATACAAAAAAAATAATATTCAACTTAAAAAATTACATTATAACAAAAATTGTACAATACATTTGAAAATTATACAATACAATGGAAAGATCTAGATAACATATTATATTTTGAAGATATAAATGGAAGATATGCCTGTCGTAATAATAAGCATATCAATTGCCATATAAAACAAATCCCTATACTAGAACATGACTCAACCATGTGGTACATGTACTGTAGAAGTACTTTTTTCCGCGTGGTATTAATTAACGCTATGTACACAGTCACAAATTTTCCGCGGAAATTGTCCAAGCGTACTTAATATAAGGTAAGGCATATAGTAACAGTCCAAGATATCCGCGTACTTTTCTACCTGTGGATTAAACAGAAATTGAGATTCTGCGGAATTATGACCCCGTGAAAAAAAAAGAACGTCTACAGTGTATAAATCTGTGATGTACATGCACTGATATAGTTATTTCAAGGTCATTTAAAAGAAGCTTGTAAATTAAGTTTTGTTTTGAACAATTCTTTTATGCATCAATTTGTAAAAACAAATAAAAACATTATATAATTATAAAAATAGTTGGCAAAATTTCTCCCTTTCTATCAATGTGTTTTAAGAGAGATTACAAGGATTGCTCGAAAAGCCATTCAATGAATAAAAAAAAAAACATTTTTGTAATATATGATATTGCATGTATGATCATTTAAGATTTCTTGATATTACATGAAATATAACAAAAATCCACATCGTTTACGAACTTTTCGATTGATTGATTGATTGTTTGTTATTTAAATATTCTCGGTTGGGACGTTAAGCAACTTACAATCTATCAATCGAAAAGTTCGTAAACTACGTTGATCTTCGTAATACTACTTTCAAGAAATCTTAAATGAGCATAATATCATATATTACAAAAATATTTTCTTGATCGACAAATTGTGTATTGTTTTACGCCAATCTAGAGAATTTGTTTTGTTGAAGTGTGAAGTTTAATTCCATTTCATTTATATGGAATCAATTTACTTTATTTTAAAATCAGTAAACACATCGTTATTTGCTTCTCCTTGACGTTCTACAACGTCATCGTTTTAATCTGTCGTTTTCAATGAGAAATATGTATTTTCTAAAATTGAATTGTCTTCATCGAAGCAAAATACTAAGTAATAATTTGATACATGCATTGCTTGTTATTTTAAATGCCTTTTTTTTTTAAAAATGTTTTTGCTCTATTTTAAAAAGAATATATGTACAGCCTATTTATATGGATTCACTTTGTCTGCACCTGCTCCGTGATCCCATTTTTGCACTTTTTAAGATGCGAATGAGTGTGAAATTATGTAAATTTATTGCATCTCGAAATTTGGTAGAAATATTCATGAAAATGAATAAAATGAAATTAACAGAAGTCCACAATCTTTCCGAACAACCCTCGTATTGTTTAGTAATTTGACTACATGTAATAGATTATAACTTTCAATTAAAAAAATAAATTATGATATTTGTTTGTCATAACTTTTTTATGAAAAAAGTAGAAAAAAAGCATACCCGTCGGTGTTATGGGTAAAATTGTTGTCTCAGAATGATAAAGAGTTCGATGGGGAGACGGGACAGGGTTATCATCTATATAATATGAAGAGCACATGTATTTTTTAATCTTTTTAAACAATGCACAAGTATCAATAACTTTAAATAAAAACAAATATGTTTGCAAAGTAGAGACTGACGAATGTTTTCATTAAAACGATTTATCCACAGCCCCAGTGTAAAACATTTAGTTGTAAAATTATGATCATGATGCAGGTGCATGCATTAAAACACATGACATTCTGTTTTATTGGAATGTAAAAAAAAGTAATGTCCTATTATTTATATGTACCTTTTTCATTCAAACAGCCTTCAACAAAATTGCATGATTGTTTAGCACAGAGACATTTGTTCTGACACCTTGCTCCAAAGTAAGGATATGTACATGATCTACTGCAGTTTATCCAAAAATATCCGATTGAGCAATCTACAAAATTTAAATGTCATTAAAATTAACAGTTTAACACATACACAAGAAAAAAATCTAATGTATGAAAAAGCACAATTTTGATATTAATGCTAAGAATTGTTAAAATTTTCAAAGCTTACTTGGAAAATTGATAACACTGTAGAAAAGATGCATTGGTAAGAATAAAATTTATCCATTTATCTCCCCCTACTTTCTCTGAAAGAGGGAAGTTTTGATTTGTGGTTACCTGTCTGTCCGTCTGTCTGTATTTTAGTCTGTATCACTTTCGTTTTCACACAATATCCCAATAACCCTTTGAGCTTTTGCAATCAAATTTAACATAACAAATTCACATGACAAGAAGACTCAATTTGATGATGTAGTAAAAAGTTCAAAATTCATTTTCCTTAATATATAAAATCTGTATTAACACTTTCCTTTCAGAGTGACATCTGGAAATGTTCACAGAATGTTAGAATTTTAACTTAAATTTTATACAACATTTTCCAATGATTTTTGAGAGACCCCGTTTTGATTTTCAAGACAAAAGGTATATGTCCTAATTTAATACATTCTGTCAGTGTGTAAAACTTTCATATCCAGGTTAAATTTCAAGAAATGTTTTAACATTTGCTTGCTAATGATTGTTTGTTGTTTAATGTCGATCTAGAGATATTTTCACTCATACGGAGACGGCAACATTTTTTTTAAAAGCGAACTGTAAATTTTGTCCTATGCTCGGCACCCAGGGCCATTGAGCAGTGTGGGATAGTTTTCCTGCTAAAATCTTCCGTGACATTGGAACTCGGGTTTCATAAGTCGGTCTTTAACGTAATAACCAGTCTTAACGTTTTTGAGTGCTTGAACTTTTGCAATGAAATAATTTATTTTAGTACTCTATGACTCCACCGCCCCTCATTAAGTGTTCTTTCTGCCATCCCACCCCTTCCCCGATTGCTATATGCGGACATGCTCCTCCTTTTTTTAAAAACAGAGGAACATTTTCTCTGAATTAGCTTGTTATTGTGTCTTTTGTGACATGTTATTGTATTACATCATCTACAATGTGTAGAGGCTACATATTTCCGTATTTTGACAAAAATATTACATACTTGATTATGAAAATGTTTACACTTCCTGCAAGGAAAACATTCTTTTAGCAGATTTAATGTTAGGAAAAATTGACAACTTATTAAACTTTATTTACTTTTTTATCATATTTTTTTCAAATTTTATTATTTTTGTTCATTAAAATATTGTCATCATTAAGAGAACAAAAAGATGTAGATCAAGTCTCAATGAAATTTTCTTAAAAAAAGGAAAAAAAAGAAAAAAAAATCTATGTCAGCACTTTGGTTTTCACAATTTGCATGTTTGTCATTAAAAATAATTCTGAAAATTAAGCGTATTATATTTTAGTATTTTCTATCTGTGATGCTGTAATTCAAAAGGAAGCTACAACCCAGGAAAAATAAACGTGAAGAATGTTTAATAAATGCTTATATAATTTAAAGTAACGAAAATAGGACAGTTAATATTTCTACTGACTAATGCAAGTCCCGTGTTCTGAACTCCATTGTGTATTTGGACAACATCCATTGAAAAATCTGCAATTAGTATTAAAAAATATTATAATAGCAGAATTGCAATATTTTCAGAAAACTTAAAACTTGACATTAATTATTATTACGCATGGTGTAACATGTAACAGAGATCAATTGCAGGAAACTTACCCAGAACATGGTCCTTTTTCTGCAAGGATAGCTTGAGTACTAATTGCTAAAAGCATTGCTTTATGAATATTAGCCATTTAAAATATTAACTGGAGCAGATTTTCCTGATTAACCATCCAGGAGAAAAATAATCATGGCAACTATCATAACTTCCTCTCTGTATTTTTGGAAGAGAGTGTGTGCAGGATTTTTTTTTTAAACACTTTGACATTTTGAATATATTTTTAAAAATTGATTATTTGGGTATCGTTTCCGTGTGAAATTCTTATGAACAGTCATTCAGTCAGTCCTTTACAAAGCGACTTAACTTCACCAATTTTGACAATGTCTAATTGAAATGTTGTGGTACATATCGTCAAGTATTTGTCATTAATGATATCAAATAAATCAGATTTTAAACACAAGTACACCATACCATAGAAGATTTACGTAGTTAAAATTTTGGATATTATTTTACCGTATAGGCTGATAACAATGGACATTCCATTGACAATGCATGTCTATTGCATACGTTGTCCATGTTTTGAACTTAGTCTTGTATTTGGACAATACCTGATGGAGTTTTGAAATAGGAATTAGAAAAAAAAAACATGCTGCCTTCATGGCACCTGATCTCACCCCTGATGTTTTTGATAAATGCTCTAGAAAAGAAGCCACACCAAGAGAGAACTTTATACGTAGAATGTCTTGTAATTTTAATCTACCATCAAGAACACATGCAGTGAAAGTCAACACAGAATAAATCATGGTTATGCATATCTTTTTCTTAAATAATTATAGGAGAAAATTTTTATTGTTTTTTTCCTTTACACGTTTAAACCCTCCACATATGCATATCAATTTATATTCACAAATCAATATGTAGTATGCACATCCTTTATGACAGCCTTTCAGAAAACATGACAGTGAAACTTTCTCATAAATTTAAATTAATTTTTGTAAGGTGTATTGTTTTTAAAAATAGCGCAAGGTAATGGAATATGCACGGATTTTTTAAGAAACAATAAGTAGTTAAGCTCAAAACTTGATTAAAACAAAAATGAAACTTGGAACAGAGGGAACATGGACTTCCAAAATTATTTTAGGTGAAATCAGGTATTATCATGTATGAAAAAGTATCCCTCGTCCAATGGTAACAACCGTGCTTCTTGTCATGGTCAAACCAATGAAAAATCATAGACAATCTCTGCAAAAATAATAGTTATGTTCATGCAAAAGGACAGCAATTACATGTATGATTACATTATACTCTGTCTTCGATGGTGTTATAGCATTGCATGGTCATATAATTGCAAAATTTTGACATTTAACTGGACTGAAAACATTACTAATTCGATTAACTTATTTATCAAAAGCCTTCCTTGTTTAAGAAATTGGACATGCGTACATTTTTCTCCTGTGAAACAAATTAACTTGGAAAAGTAAATCTAATATGCACCATAAATCAGGGAACACCCAAACGTTGAAGCAATCACGTATTTCATAATATTTTGCTGTTATGATGCCTGATTTATATATTTACAAAATCAAATACCCAGATATGAAACGTGTGTATTTTTGAAATCGCAATGATATACTCAGTATTGTATTATTGAGTCACAAGGTAAGAATATAAATCTAATATTTTAGCTGCATATCTGTAGCTCTCCAAAAATATATTGATAGACCGGAGAGCTATAGTGCCACCCATTGAAAAATTAAAAAAATCTGTATTTTTATTGAGCACAGAAAAGTGCGTTTAAGGAAGGGGGAAGTGGGGGTAAGGGGGTGCGGTGGGGGGATTGAAAGGCGTCAATAATTGACAGGCTTAACGTTGATAAACTATTGAGGAATTTAGGATCTTTCTCTAACTTTTCGAAATATTTTTATGCAATGCCTTAAAGTGGGACGAACTTTACTTTAACCAAGCTGCAACAAAAAGTGTTTGTGTGTGTGTTTGTTGGGGCGGCATTTGAATGAAAAATTTCAATATAAATCAAATTGATGCGCTTTTCCTCTCTAACCACAAACTTACATAGATATCTTGATATTTCATTGTTTCCGATAAAATTTACTAATTCTAAGATGTGATGGGGTTGGGGTTGTTTACTTGTTTATTTTTTTTTATTTTTATTATTTGCTTTTTTTCTTTTGAAACTTTGTACAATTAGCTATACAATTTGACAAATATTCACCTTTTTTTATATTTCACCCTACAAAAGGTAGCAGTGACCATTTAACATGACAAACCGACCCTTTATTATATTGAATGCACCATTTAATTTGTACATGTATATACTTCAACCTATAACAAGCAGCGGCGACCATTCAACATATTAACTCGACCCTTTAATATATTGAATGCACCTTTTAGTTTGTATACTCCACCCTATAACAAGTAGATGCAACCATTTAACATATTAAGCCGACCCTTTATTATACTGAATGCACCATTTAATTTGCATACTTCACCCAATGAGTAGTGGTGACCATTTAACACATCTAACCGACCCTTTATTATATTGAATGCACCATTTAATTTGCATACTTCACCCTATAACAAGTAGCGACGACCATTTAACATATTAAACCGACCCTTTATTATATTGAATGCACAATTTATTTTGAATCTTTCACAGTACGAGGGTCATTCAAAAAGTTCGTAGAATTTTGTCATAACATTTTTATTTAACGTCATATTATATCCAAATTTGGTACAAATATTTTAACAACAGATTCAAATATTTTGATTAAAAAAATTGGAATGTATCTTCATATTTATTAAAATTACCAAGGATTTAGAACAGCAAAAATGGGGTCACGGAGTACCGTCAAAATTGAGTAATTTTCTTATTTTCACTTTATAGTATTTACAGCTATACCTCTAATAAATGGAGCTGAAACGAAATAAAATTTACATGTTTGATTAAAGTATTGCTGTATAAATAAAAATGAAATCAGGCTATATAATATCTCCTTCCATTTAAAAGATATCAGCTTCTAAATACATGAGGACTTAATTAAAAAAGGCAAAAAACCATGACGTTGGAGGACGTCACGGAGCAGCAAGTAGCAATGAAATTAGACTTTACATTTGGGAAACTTTTTCTACAAGCTTAAAAAATCCTTTTAAACCAGGATTTTGTATGGAAAAAAATATATGTATTTGTATTAAATTGAAAATACAATTGTTGACTGGCAGCGAGTTTGAATCGAACGATGGATTGTCTGCAAAGAAACAGGTTTAAGTTAAAAATATTGTGAAAATAGTAAGGAACGACATTGAACGTGATTGTGGTTCAATGTGGCAGAAATAATAGAGTTGCATGGTAAATCAAAGAATTTGAAAACAACTACATTCCAATTCAAGCTATATTTGTACAATTGTTAGTCAAACTAGGTCTTAAGTCTTGTGGATATGTGTTTTGAATGGAGAAGACGCTACAAACTGTGTTTGAAATAACAAAAATGTTATACTTTTGACAAACTTTCACAGCGTTGTTTTTGACGTTACAATATTGGTTAACCGTGCTCCGTGGTAACAAAACATGTTGCTTAAAATGTTGGCTTAAATGAGTTCTATTTGATCAAATGGAATGAAACTTCACACTTCGACAAAATAAATGTTTATGTTTACGAAAATGTGTTGATCAATAACCTTGTAATAATCATATGACGATGAGAAGCATTGTCTACGTATTTTTTGAATGACCCTCGTATATGAGAAGCGGTGACCATTAAACATAGTAAACAGACCCTTTATCATGTTAAGCACACCTTGTATTATGTGCGCCTCGCCCTTTAACAAGGAGTGATGACTATTTAACATAGAGAACCGACCCTTGATTATATTAAACACACCATATATCATGTGCGCTTCACCCTTTAACAAGAAGTGGTGACCATTTATTATATTGATTCAACCCTTTCACCCCTACTAATGTTATTGTGATTTAAATTCAAGACACGTGGTTTAGGTTGATCTATTTAAAGGTTATAGGGTAGAACCGGTTTTATGAATGAAACTGGCAGTAAATATGATATTGCTATAGCCTGTTTCTTTTGAAAACATTTCCTGTAATAAATGTTTACAGACCTTTCTGAAAGACTTTCATGAATTTCAACTGATTAAAGGTGGCTAAAGTAGGGGGTGTAAAAATAACAATATATCTTATGCTTTTAAGTGAAAATTGAAGCTCAATAGTGACCGATTTGCTGGTAAGAAAAGTGCATCATCATCTACACTGACAAGCCTTTGTTTGCCTTATATGACTTTTGTTATAAATGCGCACAGAGGATCTTACCACGAGCAACTGTCCAATCGTTGAATGAATAGCAATGTCTACGCCAAAAACATGTTTACATTTTACTTCGAACACGTAGTTTAGATCAATCTACGATCATGTTAATGGACTGCAAAATATAAAAAAAAAAATGTTCTTACGAACAAAATACAAAGATAAGAAACTATGAAAGATGTTAAGGGCGTTTTTAATTTGTTGTTAAATATAAAAAAAAATGTTTAATAAAATGTAGTTTGTATCTAGTTTAGAACACCAGCGCTTCAAGGGAAAAGAAAACGAGCAGCATCTCCTATGCATTTAAATGGACAAAACTTTGTTTACATTCCTGATCACGTGTTCGGCGATAATTGACCTGGGTCCGCCTCATAAAACTTTAAGAATTCTAAAAAAAATCGCAACTCAAGTCTTCAGATTTATTCAGTTGAGAATTTGAGAATAAAACAGAGTTTAAGGAATTTTTATTTTTCTTAACTTTTTATGACGGCTGCTTAGTCTGAGAATTTTGGATTTGATAAAAAAAATTCACACTTGACAGCATTCTCAGACTTAAGTATGTTTTATGACGATGGACCCTTGCAATTGTATTCACAGATAGTACAACAAAGGAATTAAAACAGACGCAAATCGCTTTTGCAGTATGACTTTTAGAAACATAGACTTCCAAATGAATTATTTGTCATTATAAGCCTGAAAATAATATTTTTAGAAAAGCTTTTCAATTACCATAAGATTTTCCTTTTTTTTCAAGCGTAAAATTCCTGTAGTATTCGTAGTAACCCATAATGCAATACTCATTCAGCTGATTGGTCAGTTAAAATCATGCTGGTGCCTCATTTGCTAATATGACGCCAAAAAAT